TCCCTTTTTGAAGATCCATTATTAAAAAAAAGGATATATTTGGGAAAAGTAAGACAAAAGAAAATAATAAGTTGGGACTTCGGTGCTTGAGCTGCGGGAAAAAAAATGTGAAAAGTTTCTACAGAGGAAAGAGTGGGAAATGTAGAATTTAGTGATGCTTAAAGTGTTTAGGGGAAGATTTAATCACTATATAACCAGAAGTGTCCATACCTTACCCCAAGCCAGCATTACAAGCTTTGAAAAGTCCTACTAGACTGTGGATTGAGTCTCCTACATTAGTAGATAGTGACAGAATGGGCAAGCTTATGGTACTGTATGTGTTGCATGTGAAATTCCTTGATGAGTGCGAGTATTTTGTTTTATATGCCCTATTGGTTGTGAATTGTTACTATAGATGTGTGTTTTGGGGGCATTTCTTTCTTTGTGAGGTAAAATGGGATTTGTAAGGAGTAAAGTTTCGAGTTTCAATAGATGAATCTGAGCAAAAGAAATGTGTTCACTCTTGTGGTTGATATCTCTGAATAATTGCTTAACAAGGAGTTTGAATGAGCTTGACTGCTTCTTTGTAATTTGTCTGTTATATCATGTGTTTGCTCGAGGACAAGCAAAAGTCTAAGTGTGGGGTGGTGATAGTATGCTAGAATTACATGTAATTGGATATGTTTTACCCCTACTTTGGTGTGTTTTTAGGTGTTTTGAATGTTGGAAGATGACCAATCAAGCTTAATTGTTGAAGCTTGTTATGTAGGAAGCCAAGAGTGAAGAATAGAGGTGATTTGAGCAAAAAGGAAGCTAAAAGGCAATTTTTGAAGAAAAGTAAAATCGGACCAGGCAGTGAAGTAACTTCAAAAAGCACAGGGAAAGCACAGAAAAATTTGGAAAACACAACCAGGCCCTATGCAAAGCACAGCTATAGCACAAGAGAAAATTTGCCTGCGTTTTATCTTGAGGGGCAACTTAGTCAATTGGCTTAGGGACGCGATATAAAAGTTTTCAATCCTAATTGCAGCCACACACTTGACTTGAGAAGGCAAGAAACACCATTGTTGAAGCAAAGTTGAGCCCAAAAGATCCTCAAGTTCATTCAAAAAGACGAATCGAAGAGTTTCTCTCTACTTTTCTATATTTATTTCTATGAATATTGGTTTGACAATGGTTTATATATTTTTGAGTAGTGTTATGAGTAGCTAAACTCTTTAATCTAAGGTTTGATGGAACCTATTGGAGGATGATTTTCTACTATATTTAAAATAGATTTGCCTTTGATTTTCTCTACTTGTTCAACTATATTTTCATTGTTGTTAATTGAAGAGCTCTCAATTAACTGTGCCTATTTAGTATGTATATTGCTTGAGAGAGAGTACATATTTAGGTAGTTGTTGAACAACACCACTCCTAACGTAGTTGAGAGATCGATACAGAGGGTTTAAAGGCAGGATTAGAGATAACGAAGCCTTGGTGCGATCGTCGTGAGCGGTAAATTACTGCCGACTAGCGTAGTTCGAGAGAATACGTCTAGTAAATTATAGTAGTTACTCGAGAGAGAGCTACGACACTTAAAGTACTCACGATCGGTAGAGAATATTTAGGCGAATTTATAGGAAACGTAGCAGGGAAGATTCCGACAATAGGGGAAATCATAACCTTAGATTTTTCCAAATCTTGTCTGTAATATTTGCTTTGTTAGTTATAAATTACTGCATTTTTACTTACTTTGATCTTAGTTAGTAAACTCTCAAATTGTTATATAATATTTCTGATGGTTGATTACTTGAATTCGTATAAAACTATTGGTTGTAATTAACACGTTATTTTCCTGTGGGATTCGACTCCGGACTTATAAACCGGATTATATTTGAAACGACCGCTTAGTCCTTTTAGGAAGCATAGTTGGGAATGATCAACAACCCTACATCATCAAGCACGTATATGAAATACTGTGCCTATTCCCACTGTTGGCATGTCACCGGAGGGGTGGATCCTGCCCAACCGCTAATTAAAATCATTTAGCCCAATAGTGAGGCCTGGTGCATGCGTCGCCCCCAAAACAATAACATTTAGCCCAATATAGGCATGGCGTATGCGTCACCTCAAAATCAGTACCAAACCGGCTTTAAGGCCTAAACTCAGTCATTCAAGTCTCAAATAAACACATCTCAAATACTCAGTTTGATAGAATTATCCCTAAGTAGTATCAACAACATGTGAAGAATCAAATAAGAAGTATTGAGCCAGAGATATTATTCATGGATACAGTATCATGAGTCAGAACATGTGTACAAATAAGGTATATAACTCAGAAATAACAAGAATAACCCTATCGAGTCTAAAACAGTTAGCACATAGCCTAGACATGATGTCTAACATGATTTACAGTTCAAATAATCAAACAAGTAGAGGGAACGCGAGGATAACATGATATGATAGCAAAACAAGCCCGGTAATAACCTAAAGGCCTCCCCAAACCATGAACACACCGGTGCATGCACACGTGCCCATCACCTAGCACGTACGTCATCCCAATATCTTTCATATAACGTACTTCTCAGGGTTAAATGCCCTCAAATATAAGTTTAGAAGAGTTACTTACCTCAAAACGTGCAACTCAATGCTCTAAAAAACCCTTGCCTCGCGAATCGGCCTCCGAACGACTCGAATCTAGTCACTAACAACTTAATCTAATCAATACAAGCTATAGGAATCGATTCCATACGATAAAGCTAAGATCTTTAACCAAAATCAAAAAAGTCAATCCAAAAAGTCAACCCCAAGCCCACACCTCAGAACCAAACAAAATTCATAAATTCTGAACAACCATTTGATAACGAGTCCAACCATACCAAAATCATCCAATTCTAACTACAAATCGACCCTCAAATCCCCAAATCATACATAGTCCATAAATTCCCAAATTCTAACTTAGATTCATGAAAATTAGGTGCAATAATCAATGGGTATTCAATATTTATGGATAATAGCAATTAAATTCACTTACCTCTTCAATTTAGGTGGACATCTCTCCAAATATCTCCTTAGACCGAGTTCCCCACTTCCAAAAATGAGAAAACAATGAAAACCCTCGAATATAACCTCTGCCCAGCGATCCCGCACATGCGGACACGATGATCGCATCTGCAATTCCACTATTGCAGAGAAACCCACGCTTCTGCAAAGCCCACTAAGAATCCCGACCTGCCGCTTCTGCGGCTAACCCACCACTTCTGCGGGTCCGCACCTGCAGAAACCTTCCGCACCTGCAGTCCTTGGTCCTCATGCTCATCTCCGCTTCTGCGGTTCCATCATCGCAGAAGCGACTTCACTTCTGCGGAATCTTGTACGCACTTGCAATCCTACAACTTCCAGCCTACCTCCTCTTCTGAGGCTCCCAGCCGCTTCTACGGACTCGCAGATGTGGAGTCCTTTCGTACTTACGCTCCCAGGAAACCTCCCCAATTCTTCGCACCTGCGCACTGTTGCACCCTATTTTGCACGAGTTAAAATAAGATTCAACTAGTAGTTTCCCTGTTGATGATGAAAGAGAGTCACCACCTAATATTTAAAGGTATACTAGGGTATCTATTCAATTTTAAATTATTATCTTATTAATCTGCTAACCAGTGAGATTTGTGTAAGGGTTCTTGTTCTTCTAAGGGGAAGGTGTTAGGCACTCCCTAGAATCTACCTAAGGTAGCTCCATAGGACTTAAACCAGGTTTGGGGAATTAGATGTCTATATTCTATTTGGTTAGTACTTAAAGTGTATGTCTTACCTTATGTCATATTTTAAAACTTATCATTTTAATAAAAGGGAAATATATATACTTAAGAAAAAAGTATAGGTTTTATATAAAAGAAAGCCCTTTGAATGTCTATTTAATTGAAAAAGGTTTGGAAATGTGTTTAAAGTGCTTATACTTACTAATTTTGCAAAATGGAGTTAAGTTTAAAATACTTGAATTTTGAAATAAGCTGGCTACTTGTGTAAAATAAGGACTATTAAGGAAATGGGGTTAGATATACCTTAGAAATTGATTTCAAATCTTATATTCAAGTTCCAAAGAAAAATCATTTGAGGATCTTTGATTTGCAGATGTATTCGTTTGGTTTGTAGAAAGCCCGACTTGGAAATCATTTCCTGATTTTGGTTTTTTAGAAAGAGAGATTGTCGACCTTGCAAATCTGTTTTAATTCTCAAAAGGCTTTATGAAAACAGTTAGTACGAGTGAGAATGGATACTGGATGATAGAAATAATTAACAAATTAAAATTATTTAACTACTAAGAGATAGTATTTCTTTTATTTTTACCCATGATTTTTAGCTTGCCTAGGTTGTTAAAGGAATTCAAAGAGATAAGGGAGAAATATTTACTCAAATATCATTAGTGTTATATACACAAAGGTAGCAACAGATTATGTAAAACAATAAAAGAAGGGGATGGACTCATGATTTGGGCCTGAAGAGCGTAAGGCCCAGCGACAAGAAATAACAGCAGCTTCAGCGACTCTCGACTCGAGCTGGAACTTGGGCCTGAGTTCTTGTGAACTCAGGAGGTCCAGTTCGGTCACATGTGCAAAAAAAGAAGGGAAAGACATTAGACATATGGCCCAATATGACACTCAAACACAAACAATATCAATGTAAGGCCCAAAAACAGAACGGTAACAAACATAAGTAATTAGAAATGCAGTAAAATTAATATAAGGTCAAAGAGAGTAAACAAATTAATAGTGAAACCTTTTATTTCATTTAACACTAATACTAAAAAGATTAATAAATTTCAGTAGTTAAGAGCTTAAGGTAAAATTCTATTCGTGGCCAAGACACCCTATGGATCCCCGGCACTTCAAAGTTCACGAGGGTCTCACGAACCCACACATATATTACTATTACGTATCTTGCAATCATTGCTTAAGCACGACTATTTTATGCATCACATTAATTGATAAAAAGTAAAGAATTCTTAAATGCAAATACTTGCAATAAACATTGAAAACGAAAGGTATTTCATTAACTAATTATAATAAAGCAAATTGCTTCAAGTTGTGTGCTAGCAATGAACTTTACAAAACTGAATGTATTCATATAGTATCATGAATAATATACATAATTGTCAAAAGCATGTCTTTGATTGACTTCAAATAGATCAAATTGACTTTCGGCCGCCATTTCCAATTGCATCACCGTAATTTTCCTATATGTTTAAAATGAAATTAAGAATTAGATAGGAGCTAATATATACAAGTCACAAAAAATCTTAAGAAATGACTTAAGCTATCAATCAACATTTAATAGAGTAAGATCTCCATTGAGCGTATCCTACTTAGCATAGTGTATTTCTCAATGTAACAGAGCAAATGCAGTGCAGACTCATAAATGCGGCAGAAATGCAAACTGTCAGTGCAAAAATATAGAAACGCAGTGTAGAAACGTAGCAAAAATGCAGAAATACAGCAAAAACGCAGCAGAAATGTTGAAACATAGCAGAAACGCAAAATTGCAGTGGAAAGATGCAGAAGCGCAGAATTGCAGTGAAAGAATGCAGAAATGCAGTACAGAAATGCAAAAACACATAAATGCAGTGCAGAAATGCAGAATTGCAGTGAAAGAATGCAGAAATGCAGTACAGAAGCGCAGAAACACAGAAACGCAAAAACGCAGTGCAGAAACGTAAAATCACAGTGTAAAATGCAGAAACGCAGAACCATAGTGCAGAAATACAACAGAAAAGCAAAAATGCAGTAGAAACACAAAATTGCAGTACAAAAATACTGAAACACAATAGAGAAATGCTAACGTAGTGCAAAACTACAACAGAAACACAGAGATGCAGCAGAAACGCAAAAATGCAATGCAAAAATACAAATGAACAGTGCAAAAATGCACAAACTAGTTTTCTGAATTAACAATCATGTCAAGGTCGTCAAGATGAAAAATGGAGAAGATCAAACAATATTCAGCATGCAATTGATCATGATACTGAATCAAGGGAGGAAACAAGTTATATGAAAAATAAAAAAGGAGTAGGATTTAGCAGGTATAAGCAAATAGATAAGACCTTTTCAAGAATCGGACTATGAGTTGATCCAGAGGAATGTGAAAGATTTTGTCCTTTGACAACTCATGCACTACTCGCATCAATCAGAGACGATAGGACGATAGGTTATACCCAACACAGCCTGCTACATCCTGAAGGTTCAGACCAGGGTTGTTTTCCACCAACACTTTCATAAGATGTCGCAGTTGTTGTAATTCCTGCACTTCTTCCTTCAATACTTTCAGTTCTTTTACTTCTTCTTTCAAAGAAGTGATTTCATCAGCATGCTTCTATTTAATTTGAAGATTTCCTCATCCTTTTTCAAAGAACTTGTTGTCACGGACCTACCGTAACATCAAACTCGACCATGCTACTCCTTTCCGAACACTTCCTTAAATGAGTCCTCCGCAGTTTCTCCAGTGTGTTGACGATTTTGAAGTTCATACTGTAAAAACAACTATCAGTGAGACAAAGCAAAATGAGGTCTAAAAGCCAGAGCTTATGGGATTCCAAGACACATAGAAGACAAATAAAAAAATAAGTTTGATAAAGAAGAGAGATCAAATTTTCATAGCTTCCTGACTTACTATTGCATTTTCGGTGTCTGGATCAACTTGCTTTCTTTCCTGTGTGCGAGTTGCAATAAATATTTCTGACTTTGATAGTTCCTCATTGTTCTCTTTCGTTGCACGCTACGAATTATATTAAATAAATTAAATATGTAGTCTAATAAAGTATGGAAAGAAATACAAGTTATTTTTTCCTGAAAGTGTCTAAAGAATAATACCAATGATGCGCACTCTTCCAAAATTAACAGGTCCCATTAGATGTCTCCACTTCTGCTTCTTTCTATTGTGAGAATTTAAAGAACACATGGCCTAAAATCCCACAAAAAGAAAAATATTCATCAACAAATCATATAGAAAAAACGAGCACTTGGATGATCCTTCGTCTTGCCATCAATTTCCAAAAGTGTTAAAATTATTTTATCAAATATCTTTTTCTCTATGTGCATTACGTCAAGGTTGTGTCGCAACAAGTTATGCTGCCAATAAGGCAATTCAAAAAAGATTGACCTTTTATTCCATGGGCCATTGTTTGATTTCTTTTGGTTCTTTCCAAATACATTGTCAATATTTTGTAAGCTATTAAGCACATCTGTTCCTAAAGCGGAGGAGACCTAAATTCTATTTTTCTATTGAAAGACCTTTTGTTAGATCTCCACGGATGATCTATGGGTAGAAAACACGATGGTCCATATAGCACATTTTCCGACTATGTTTTAGATAACAAGAATTAGTACCATAATTACAATTGAGGCAAGCCAACTTTCCTTTTGCACTCCAACCAGACAACATCGCATATGCAGGGAAGTCGCTAATTTTTCATAAAAGAGCTGCTCGTAGATGAAAGATTTGATTTCTTGAGGCATCATATGTTTTTATGCCGAACTCCCACAACTCCTTCAACTCTTCTACAATGGTTATAGATAAATGTCGATGTCATTTTCATGTTATCGTGGCCCAGGTATAAGTAAAGAAAGCATACAATATTCTAGTTTTATGCACATTCATGGAGGTAAATTATACGCCATTAAGACAACTGTCCATGTGCTATGAGATATGCTCATGGTACGAAATGGATTGAATCCGTCACTTGCCAAGCCAAGTTTAACGACCTGACGGGTCGTTTTGAGCTTTAGCATTTCATTCGGTGATTTAAGACATTGAGTAGCTTCATATGATGTATTATGACTTGAGTGTATGATCGGTTTTGGTTTTCGAGTCGTTCGGATTGATTTGGAAGAATGACTCTTGATTTGGAAGCTTTAAGTTGGAAGATTTGACCATTTGACTTTTGGGTAAACGGAGTCGAAAATCGGGTTTTGATCGTTCTGATACGTTCCTATGATAATTTTAGATTTGAATGTATGTTCGAATTTGATTTTGGAGGTTCCTAGAAGAAGAATTTGATACTATTTATCTAAAGTTGGCAATTTGAAGAACTTAAGAGTCCATAAGTGTGACTAAAAGTTGAGTTTGATGTTATTGGATGCCAATTGGTGTTCCGAGACTTTGGAAAGGTCTACATAGTTGAATTGAACTTGTATACAATGTTTGGAAGTAATCCAAAGTGGTTAAGTGTGATTCGAACATTACTTTGAAAGAATAAAGATTTAACAACTTAAGAGAAACTCTACTCGGTTTGAGCCTTGTTTCTTTATTGTGATGTTCCTGTGGGTGTTTTGAGGTTTTGGATAAGCTTGGGTATTATATTTGTACTTGTTGGTATGATTGGATGGGGTCCCAAGGGGCTTGAGTATGTTTTGGATCATTGGTTGAGAAACTAGTTAAGTTAATGATTTAGAGTTTGACCATGGTCAATATCAGGTTAAGATGACATCTTTTTGATATTTTGAGCACGCGAGTAGGTTCGTAGCGGATTTTATGATTGAAATGCATATATAATTTGTGTCTGGGAGTTTTCGAATTAGTTTTGGGGTGCTAAAACTAAGATTTTCCTATTGTTGGTTTTTTTCTAATGTAAATAATTACGAAAATGCCATTTATGTCCTCAAATTTTCGGACTTCCTTTAAAACTTCAAAATATCATATCTCCCTCATTTTACCGCCAAATTGGGTAATTCAAAAGGATATTTTGGGTGTAATCTCGCAAGGATCATGTTGGGCCTATCAAACATGAGTTTCAGAATCATCTATGATCTGATTTGGGTTAGGACATCTACTGTATTTTTACTATTTAGAATTTAGTTAGTTTTTCTCACAAGATTTTAGAGCTCAGTTTTGAGCGTTTTTGGAGGGAATTTTCACTACTTGGATTGGGGTAAATATTTTTTACTCGGATTTGTTTAAATTTCATGATTCCAACCTTGAATTTAGCGATTGATTGATGAATTGAACTGAAGAAATGGGAGATTTTAGTAAAAACGTTTTTACATAAATTGATGATTTGAAGGCCAATTTAAGGTCAGAATTGGATGATTTTGGTATGGTTGGAATCGTATTGGAATGATGTTCGAAATTTATGATTTTTGTCGAGTTCCGAGATACGGACCGGGGGTTGACTTTTTGATTTAGTTAAAGATCTAAACTTTATTAATTAAAATTGGTTTCTCTTGCATTGTTTGATAATATTAAGTTGTTTTGGCTAGATTTGAGCTGAGCGGAGGTGAATTTTAAAGAAAAAGCTATTTTTGAGTGATGAATTGGCCTAATTGAGATAAATATCTTGCCAAACTTTGTGTAGGGAAAACTGCCCCATAGGATTTGGTTTAATTGCACTATTTGACTTATGTGGAAGACGTGCACTTAGGTGACGAGTGTGTACACGGGCTCATTTGTGAAAACTGGCCGGTTTAGATCCTTAGGTCACTTATTTGCAATTAGTTGAAGTTGTTAGTACATGTTAAATCTTTCATCATTGAGTTTATACTTATCTGTATTTAGTTGAAGTTGTTATTATATGTTATATCCTTCATTGTTGATTTTATCCTTATTTGCATTTCATTTAAGTTGCTATTACATGTTATATCTTCTATTGTTGAGTTATTCTTATGTGCATTTTACTAGAGTTGTTATTACATGAAACATCATTCTTGATTGAGTTTATTCTTCTGTTTAATTGGGTTGTTGTTGAGACTCTTGTATATATTATTGTTGAGCCATGGGCTATGTTGGTTGTGATATTAGTATTATTATTTTGGCAATGTTGTATTATATAGGCACGTGTGGTGCGGGATGATTATTATGTTATGATGAGATGCGTATGCGGGGGTATAAGGGTGGTGATATTGATGCGCATGCGGCGAGATAACAGAGATTTATGCGTATGTTGCTAGTAAGGAAAATTACTTGAAGCCACGCGACGAGAGAAGGGGGCTAAAACGCGTGAAGCTATTTTGGACAAAATATTTTAAAAATCAAATGTAAGGCTCACGCGGCGATATAAGGAAAATTTATGATTTGTGACTTGTGATTATGAGGTATGGTACCTCGGGGTGATTCTTGTTGAAAATCTTGTATTGAAATGGCTTGATTATTTGGACCGTCATTTTCTTTCCGTAATTTGCTTCACTTGTATTTTTAACCGTGTTCTGATTATTTTGTTGTCTTATCACATGTTTACTTCATGTTGTAATATGTTACTTCTATTTTCCATTGATAGCTTATATTAACGTTCTCTATATTGTTAGCCTTACATTGATATTCTTTCCGCTGTTAGCTTTATATTAATGTTTAACTCAGATTTTTCCATGTCTGGTAAGTGTACTGACCTACCTCGTTACTACTCCACTGAGGTTAGTCTTGATACTTATTGGTACCGTTGTAATGTACTCATATTATACTTCTGCATATTGTTGCGCAGATCCAGGTACCGCTGACCGTGTCAGACGCTAGTGAGTAGATTCTAACTCTTGTGGAGACTTCAAGGTATACCTGTTTGACGCTCTTAGGTTTCTGAGTGACCATCTTATATTATCTTTGCTAATGTTTATCTTCATTTTGAAACAATATTGTATCTAGAGATTTTAGTGTATTTCAGTCGAGCTTATGACTCTGTACTACCAAATTTTGGGGTTTTATAACTGTTGTTCTGCTTTAGCTACGTTATTTCAATTATCAGTTTTTTTTTTTGCCTAATGGCTAATATATAAATAAAATCCCAAAAATGGGTCCAATGCTTACAAGATGTCCAAACCAAAATAGAAGTTGCATGAAGCTACTAGTTATTAAAAAAGATAGAAAAGCTAAAATCTAATGAACTAACTATTACAACATGAAAAGTTGAATGCTTCCTTCTCCTATTAGTGTATGTGAATCCAATTGTCATTTTAATATTTAATAGTTAAGTTGATTATTTCTGTTAAATATCATCTGTGTTAGGCTTACCTAGTCTTAGAGACTAGGTGCCATCACGATTACTAAGGTGAGATTTTGGGGTCGTGACACTAAGTCTCACATTGAGAGAATCTGTTGCGAATTCTTGATGAAGGCTATCAAAGTCTTTCCATGTTTAGCCATCAGCAGGATGCATTAACTTTCCATCTTTAGAACATTCCTCGTAATTCCACCTGAATGTATCTGCTATTTTTGATCACATAAATAGTCTTTTGAGTCTAGGAATTAACGAAAAATGTCTTAAAATTTTAGCAGGAACACGATAAGTTTTTTTAGAAGACTCAAGCTCACTATCTTCTTCAGGATATTCGACATATCGAGAAGCTTCACAAACATGGCAATATTTATCACCTTTATGGTCATTCCTGAATAACATGCCGTCATTAGGACATGCATTACTTTTTTTATAGTCGAGACCTAAATCTTTTGCCATAGCCTTGGCTTTGTTGTAGGATATAAGAATGTTCAACTCAGACATCGCCTCCTTCAATAACTTTAAGAGAGAAGTGAAGGAAGCATTGCTCCATCCATGGAGACACTTCAACAAGTGTAGACAGATTGTGAATGATAATTTAGAGAGTCCTTTACAACCCGGATATAGTTATTGCCTAGCCTCATTAACTAAATTATAAAACTTTTGGGCTTCTTTATTTGGGCCTTCATAAACTCCTTCGGCTTGTGAAACATCTCTAAATTAATTATTCAACAATCCATCAATACTATCATACGAGTTAGCTTCATCATCCATCTCACCGTCAACACTCATCGGGATTTCCTATTCCCCGTAATTAATCCACCTTATATAACCTTGAACAAAAATATAGCATATTAATTGATCATATATTACATTCCTTCTATACCAATGGATATAATAACACTTTGCACATGACATTGAATTTCTTCGCCTTGAGGATCTCCAGCAGAATAAGCAAAGTCCACGAAAGATTGAACACCGTCAATATACTCTTCGCTATACCTTATAAATCCATCCAATCCTTGGAGATCCTAAAGATTAAATACTAATATTGAATCTTCAAATATATATTTATTTAAGCATTAATTATATTTGTACAAATAAATCCTTAAAATAACGATTAATATAATAGCACAATAAAAAAATTAAGAGGATACACTTATTTTTGATGAAGTTAAGAGGATAAACTTTTTCCCTAGACATGACACCTATTGTAAGCCAAAATTCAACTTCAAGTCCACCGCAAATATTCCGAAGTGTTGATTAATCTTCTTGGAGAAAAAATTAAATTTCAGCGGTTAGTAGAGATGATGATATCAAGGAAAATTGATTAATAGACGAGCACATAAAGGAGAAAAGCTTATAGAAATAAAAAGACCTCTATGAAATTTTATATTAGAAATTTAATACTTCTATCAAGTGATCGCAAATCAGAACATACCAAAAACAGAACTAAAGAAACAAAATTTTACATCCCAAGAAAACTCAAATATTAACTCTCAAACGAGAATTCTTGTCAAGTGATTTTCATGTGACTAACTAGAAGAGTTGCTGTAGAGTGTCGGAAAGAAATAATAAGCATGAAAAGTGCAAATAACATAAGAAATTCAGTGTTATAGTATAATAGAGCTATTGTCCAAACATTTTTAATCGTGTTAACAAAGTAATTCAAACATATGTAGTTTAATTACAAGATAAAAACCTAAGAATTGGGAAAGAAGAATGATTCAAAACAACTATGCTTATGAGTATTAATTAAGAGTTCAATACCGAGATATGTCGAGTTTAATACTGGAAAAGTTCTAAACAAAGCTTAACAGCTTAAATCAAAAGTTGCAAAACTAATACCAAATTTTAAACCACGAAAAGAATATTCGTATCCTTCAAACCAAACAATCCCTAAAACTTTAATATTTCTAAAGGAAACTAATTTTCTCAGCAGAAGAGACATCGCCACCGCACGGCAAAATATTATATAAGAAAAACATAGTACAAGACTGTGATAGTTGGCAATGGTGGAAAGGAAGAAAAAGGAACATAGAAAACAAAAAAACACATGAATCAAAGGAAACAACAATCATATTAATGTTACCTTATGAAGAAACCGCAGAGAGAAGCGAACAATCCTACAACTTAATAGTCGAAAAGTTGTTCCAAGGAGAAGTAGAATCGATAGATATGTCTATAAGGTGCAGAGATTTCAGATTTTGTCGACCTTGTGAGAAGGTGTAGAAACCCTAAACTGGAGATCTTATGAAGGAGAGAATTCTTTTACTTTTTTGGAGTAGGAAGGAAATACTCTACTAAAAGTGGGCAACAATATGGGGGGAATACGTTTTTTTGCTGAAAATTTTATCGACAACTTTAGAGTGCACTTATAAAGTGTTACTTTTAGTATTACAGAAATATCACACTTGAAAGAGTAGCCATAAATATAAATAGGTGTTGCTAATTATTTTAAGATTTGGTTACATCTGTAGAGCGCAGTCTATACTTCCTAATGGCATACTTTACATGCATTGTTAAACTTTGCATAGCCAAAAGCCGTAAATAAAGGCCATCCCTAAAAAGCATACCCATAGATATTTTTGGCCACGTTTTGTAACACAAAAGGGGAGGGGTGAGTTGTGTCCAATTAAAAAATTCAGTTGATTAGATAGAGTAATAGTCGACTACTCCTTGTCAGCAGGTTCGATCACAATAGAAGTAAATTATGCAGGAATAAAAACAGTAAAGACAAAGAAGTTTTATAATGGTTATGTACCGGTGTGGTGCCTACATTCAGTTCCCTTGGGTCACAAGGGTTCTTATAACGACCTGACCGATCGTTTTGTGTAATTGTGCCCCGTTTCCCCTTTTGATGCTTCACACGTGTGTGTTTATAATTTTATGACTTACAAGGTTGATTAGTTTCGTTCCGGAAAGCTTTCGGGTTGATTCAAACCCTTTGATCTTTGACTTAGAAGCTTAGGTTAGAAATGTTGACCAAACTTTGACTTTTGTGAAAACGACCCCGGAATGGTATTTTGATGGCTTCGATAGCTTCGTATCGTAATTTCAGACTTGGGCGTATGCCCAGAATTGATTTCGGAAGTCCGTAGGTTGATTTGGGTTGTTTTGCCGAAATTTGGCAATTAGAAGTTAAAAAGTTTGACCGTTGATTGACTTCTATATATTGAGATCGGAATTTGATTTTGGGACTTGGAGTAGGTCCGTTATGCTAGTTAGAACTTGTATGCAAAATTTGGTATCATTTGGAGTTGATTTGGTAGGATTCAGACGTTTAGTTGTAATTCTAGAGATTCTATAACGTTACTTTGAAATTCATGCGTTTAGTGTTCGATTCGCAGTTTAAGATGTTATTTTTATGTTTTAATCGCGCGAGCAAGTTCGTATGATGTTCGTAGACTTGTGTGGAGGTTTGGTTTGGAGCCCTGAGGGCTTGGATGAGTTTCAGAAGGTTTTGAACTGAAAATGGAAAATCTGGTGTCTGGTGCCTCTACTGTCGCATTTGCGAACCCCAGGTTCGTAAATGCGAGCTTAGTAGGGGGCCTCAGGTTGCAATACCTGTTGCGACCAAACACACTTACGCAAGTATACGTGGTCGTCAAGTAATAGAGTAGTGAATAAAGTATCGTTCCCACGAAGACTTATGATTAACTTTTGACTAATTCAAACTCAAATAGCTTATCGATTCAAGCGATTTCTTATAAAATAGATAATTTTTTAATTTACTACCTAAAAACTATCAAGTAATGAAATACTAAAAATCAACACAACACTTAAATAGTTTTGAATAACAATCAATAGGAGATAATATTCCAGGGTCACGGGTTATCTAACAATCATGTTGCATTCTTAGCTTAAAATAACTAATTGATTTATCTGGATTGTTGATTGACAGGGTTAATATTACTCATAAGAATCTGTCGAGTCCTCACTCGCCTATTTAAGCTAACTTAATGCCTATATGTCTATGGAATTAAGATTAACAAGAATGCATTTAAAATTCCTGTATTGCAACCGAGCAAGGCAATTAGGTATATGTCTATCCTAATTGCGAATCCGTT